GTTTGGCTCTATAAACTTAGGCTTTCATATTAAATTGCAACTGGTACATGGAAAACTCCTATTTAGTGCTCTGCAGTGGGAGAAAAGTGCTGGCCAAATGCTCTGAGTTTATTTTCTTTAGACCAGCTTGCATAGCTTTGGTGATATCAATTAACACAGATTTCTAGAACTGTGCTAAAAACCAAGCAAACATCACTGACCTTGCTGTCCAGGTATGTTTGAACAGCAGTGCTTATTGCCAGGACAGGGTTTTGTACAGCTGCCACTGAGCAGGGTTTGCACCTACAGCCTGGGTGGAAGCTATTGCTGCAGAAGGAGCATTTGCTGGGGCACTGCAAGCCAAGAGAAGCCATCTCAATTTGACAGAGCAGCTGGGGTTTTATTTTCCTTAAAACACCCCTTGAAAACAAAGTCATAGTATCAGAGAGCCATAGAATGGTTTGGGTTGGAAAGGACCTTAAAGATTACCCAGTTCTAACCTCCCTGCCATGGGCAAGGATGTCATGATTGTTGATTTGAAATGGCAAAACTATTGCTGGTCTGCTCATCCCTCCTGTGTGGCTTTGGCATCACTCTTTGAAACATAAAAATCACGGAATATGGCAGGTACAAAAACACCATGGCCTCGCAGGTCTTACCAAAACACCATGGCCTCGCAGGTCTTGGTCCACTCCATGGTGAAGGGCTGTGCACCTCCTTCCTCAGAGTGGTTTGGAAATGGTGCTGTGTACAGAGAGAAAAAAATGCAGTGGGTGTTGCCTTCACACATAGTCATTGTTCTGGCTGAACTATTTTAACTGCTGATATGAAATCTTTATTTCAGTAAACTCTCAGCTAAATGTCAACCATGGCCTCGCAGGTCTTGGTCCACTCCATGGTGAAGGGCTGTGCACCTCCTTCCTCAGAGTGGTTTGGAAATGGTGCTGTGTACAGAGAGAAAAAAATGCAGTGGGTGTTGCCTTCACACATAGTCATTGTTCTGGCTGAACTATTTTAACTGCTGATATGAAATCTTTATTTCAGTAAACTCTCAGCTAAATGTCAAACTGCAGCCATTCTTCCTGTAACTGTGCCTTTGAAAGCATTGTTATTAATATTACTGGTATTATTTTATAGGACTTTTTATAATATGAACAGTTCATTTCCCCTTGAACTGTTAATTTCTCCATCCAAGTCCAGAAGGAAAACTTTTTCACTTAACCTAAAAAAAATTCTTCTTGGTAAACATGGAGAAACAAAGAATAATTCAAGGCACACATAGGGCAAATATTTTGTTAGTGCCCCGAACACCAAAACACAATGTCATAGCAGATATGGGTCAATGCTTTTATCTGTGCTTGTGTTCCCTGGGATAAAACTGCTCCTGACAGGGCTGCGGAGGGTGCACACAGCTTGGAAAATGCTTCCCATTGCTTAAGCCCTGGAAAATAAGGGATAAGAGGAATAGCTGCTGGCAAGAAAACCAGCTGAAAAAGAAAGTAATCTATAACAGTAGGGTTCTATAGGCAAACTGCAAATGATACTGCCCATCACCACGTGCCACACACTGAGACAACTATTCCTAATTTGTCAAGAGCTGCATTTCCTATATACCCATGGCAGGGCTTCATTTGTCATCCGGACTCTAATTAACAGAGGGATAGAGCTCTGTGTCTGAATGCTCCTAGGTGGCTGTGCCAGGTGTGTCCTGGGGCACAGCTGGTGGGGATTGTACTCCAAGTGCCAGTGGAAGTGGTGGGCAGGGTTTGAGCTGCCCCTCTGCCTCTCGAGGCAGCTGCCAACTCATGAGGTTATAATTCTGCCTGCTCCTTCCTCAGGCAGCAAAATCTCCCCCGTGACGCTGTGTGACAGCCCCGGGGGTGGGACAGCAGCAGCTGTTGGGAAGGTGGCTGGATGGGAAGGTGGCTAGCAGAGAGCACTTCCCAGGACCTCAGTGGCATCGTTCCGTGGGAGCCCACAGACCCAAGGGGCACAGACCATTCCACGTAAGTACGACCACCTGCGAGCAAGACTGCGTCGAGTCCCTCTGAGAGGGTTCCCTCTTTCGCTGGTGACAGACATAATCCTGTGCTAATAAGCCTGAGTTCCTGCTGCAAATAGTTTTACAGCTGAGGGCACCCTCACTTTGCTTTCTGGCTTCACAGGGAAGGTTTAAAGGGTTTTACGGTGAATTTAAAGCAGGTTTCACTCTGCTCGCACCAGTGCAAACCAGGGGTGGATCAAGTAACCACAGCGTAAACACAGAGTCTGCTTTTAAAACTCCTCAATCTTTTTAGGGAGCTATGTATACATTTGGATTATCGCTGAAGGGAACATGCCCAAGTGAATGTTATTATCCAAAAGTTTCTATCAGTCTAATTCAGAAACAATTCTTTCCTTCCTCCTCTTTCTTCATTTTTAAAGTTAAGTGGCTGCAATTCAAACAGCAAAACAGAGGATGAGATAAATGGGGCAAATTCAAACAGCCAAAAGCATAATGTAATAAAATGAGACAAATTCCTTGAACTGCACCTAACATGAAAATGAATCTCAGCTGCTCATTAGATACCACAGAGCAAGGGACGTCAGCAAATTAAATCATGGGAAGTAGCGGGAGGCATAGAAAAAAAGGTTGATTATCTAAATCTCCCCTTATTAACTGCAAAATATTTTTATCAGGATTGAAAGTAGCAAAATATATTATTGGCAAATGGCAAAACCTCTTTATGCACTTAAAATAAAAAGTGAGGAGTCAGGCAGAGCAGAAGAATGGGTAAACAAAAAGTACATCACTGTGTTTTCAGGGTGGGTTACCAGTGAATAATACTCACCCAAGGTACATCCCACAGTTTGCTTCCTTACTCTCTCTGGCAAAATTTGTACTTGGTTTCTCCAGGTTAATTCAGATGCTGCTGGGGGTCACCTGGGTCAAGAAAGGGTTGCTGATTGGAGGGTGATGAAGCTTTAAAAGCTCCCCCACCTGCTTGTTATAAGGCCTTTTTCATCTTTGCTCTTTAACATGCTTGGTTTTGCTGTTTTTTCCCTTGAAAGCATCCTTGCTGTCTGAGAAGGTGGGGAACAGGGAGCATGCCAAGAGCCTGTCTGCCTTGGCAGTGGTATGGGTGGAAAATCAGACCTTGGGTCCTACTCCAGAGGTCACTCCTGGTCTTTGGGACTGCCCCAAGGAGAGCAATTATCAGGCATTACTAATTGATTTAGTGGCTCTGGTAGCAATATGTGCTGAAAAAGGTGCACTGTTGCCAACCCTCACCATGCTCCTTACTGCAGGAACCTTTGGGATGTGTGGAGATAAGGCTCATGAACTGCAAAAGAAAAGGTGCACTGTTGCCAAACCTCACCATACTGCTTACTGCAGGAACCTTTGGGATGCGTGGAGATAAGGCTCATGAACTGCAAAACCAAAATATGTCATGACCTTGACGTCACCTTTGTCAAGAGGAGTGAAGGAGAGGGGGCAAAGCTAAGCAGATTATATTGTCATTAGAATGAGGGCAGGAGGGGAAGCTGGGGAACTGCAGCTACTCAGCATGATGTCTGCCCCCAGAGATCATCCTTTGAGGAGGAATGAGTTCCAGAAAGAGAATAAGGTGATGGCCAGGCAAAGTGAGGTAGAAATCGTCCTATATCCATCTTTCTCCTGGTGGGGAGAAGGAGTTGGCATCATCATGTGTGACATTCTCATAAGCAAGTAAGGAAGACACTCAATGAGATATCTACTGGGTGGGTGGAAACCTCATTGCACAGTCAGGAAATTTTTGAGTTCACTGGCAGAGAAGGAGGTAATGGCAAGTATGAACCTGAGCCTGCTACCCTTTTGTGTTTCTGTTCATGATTTGGAGGACAGACAAGACTATTGTTATTTGATGTGCAGCTGGGAAGGACTTAAGAACAACAGAAGCTGGAATTATAATTCAGAGGGATAAAGTAAGTACTCTGGGAAAAGCCCATGGTTTGTATTCCAGTGGTCAGGCTGGTGAGTGAAGGAAAGGGATGTGGGTTTCTCTATGGGATGAGAGAAGCTGTCCCAACAGTGTTGGGAGACAGAAGATATCAGTGGGTGGGAGGCTTTCTCCCTCAGCTGCTGCATTTCAACAACAGTGAGGTTTGCCTGGCTGGAGACAGTCCAAAGGGAACAATAAAAATAACAAGAGGTTGCTGGGATGTAACCTCTGCAGGGAAGCCAGAGGAGATCATAAGAAACTTTGTGGAAATGTGGCACAGAACCTGTGAGGAGGAAGAGGGTTTCTCCTTCTCCTTGCCAGCTAGGACAAGATGGATGGACTTAAACTGCAGTTTGAGAGAGGATGAAAATATCTTTGTGCACTTCTCAAGCCTGACGTTTCCCAGTAGTATGTTTTGCCCTACTTCTGACTCCCTGTCAGTTGGGTTTAGCACAACATCCATTCCAGTAACTCACATAGCTTTGGTAAATTAACTACTCAGCCCATGGGAATCATACCATCATCTTCAGAGGAACTAGAAAAATAAAGTGCATTTATAAGGTTTTTATTGTTTTCACCCCACCATCAGCATTCCCTTTAAGAACATCAAAAGATTAAAAAACCAGATAGAGACATCTGCCAGCATCTCTGGAGATGGGTGTTGCACTTTCTTCTAATCCAGACCCAGCCTTTGGAGCCTCTCCATATCTTCACAAAACAGGGAAAATTTTCTTTTATTTAAGAACCATCTAAAGACCCTTTTGCTGGGTTTTAACAGAGCCCTGTGTCAGCACAGTTAAAAAATGCTGGCACTTCCCCTGCACAGATTAAAGATGATATATTACCCTTTGCTGCTTGGACTCAATTTACAGCCTCTATTGCAGAATTGCGTAACACTCCTGCAAGCGCTCTAAGGCACAGTAGCAGGGTTGAGACTGTGGGGCAAAGTCCAGGCTTGTGCTGGCTTTTCCCCTCCAGCATTTTTTATTCCTTTTCTAGGTCTGAAAGAAAAGCTGCAGGGAGCAACCTGCCCCTTCCTGCACCCTTCCAACACCCAGCATGGCATCACCCATGAGGAGCTTACTCGTCGACCCTGCCAGATACGTCCAGGCATTTCGCCTCTTCCTCGAGAGGTCGACTGAGCACCAGTGCATGAAGGAGTTCATGGATAAGCAGCTGCCAGATGTGATAGCAAGGTAACACAGAGGTTGCCACTCTGAGCTGAAGGACAGGCTGGGGCATGGTCCCACAGCAGTGGTGGGCTTGGCTGGGCTCAGGGGGCTGCCTGCAAGAGGCAGATTGCTGTTCCCTGATGGCTGTCCCATCTGTAGGTCTCTGATAGAGCTTGACTGGAGATTCCATTTGCACACACGTCCTGTAGGTCTCTGATAGAGCTAGACTGGAGATTCCATTTGCACACACGTCTGGATGGTGGCTCTGGAATGGAGCCTGCCTAGCAGGGAGGAGATAAGGCTGCATTGTTTCCTTGAGCACAAATACAGCTTACCCTGAATCAGCTCTGAAATGCACTAACAGACACTACATTCTAACATTAAATTTGATAGAAAGCAGCTTTTAAAAAGTAATCTTTTCAGGTGATATTCAAGGTCTCTCTTGCATGGCTAAATAATGCTCCTGCTTTTCCTGCCAGTGTGTGTCCTTTGCTGGACCCCTTGCTTTGCAGACTGGCTTGGGAGCAAGCAGCTGGTGTCAAATCCTGACTCTGGGGAGGATATTCTCTGGGCTCAGTGTTCCATGGCTCTGCCAAAGCCTCATTCAGGGATTTTAAGAGTATTACACTCTCCTTTCTTCCTCCCTATTTTGCAAAACAGAAAACTTCTACAAATAGTTTTTGGGCTGCCAGTCCAAACCTAGAGTGGTCTCTGTTTCTCAGAGCACAGGCATGGAGAAGGCATGTACCTGCTTCTGCTTGTATGTACTGGTAATAAAAGCAGAACTCCCCTACAAGTTGCCAAAATAACTGGAAATCAGGAATCTCCAAAGAGCAGAGTTCTGAATCTGATCCCTCCTGCCCGCTCACAGTCGTGCCTGTATAGAACTTCCCTACAAATTGCCAAAATAACTGGAAATCAGGAATCTCCAAAGAGCAGAGTTCTGAATCTGATCCCTCCTGCCCGCTCACAGTCGTGCCTGTACATGCACACATTGCATTTTGGTTTTATCCTGCAGATTTTAGTCTGCCTGGACTCTCCAGTACTTCACATCATGCATGTAAACCTCTCCACTGGGCAGCTCTCCTAAAATGCTTAACTAATGTTTTTCAGAATTGGAAATGGGAAGTCTACAATCAATGTTCTAAGCGTTGGTGGTGGAGCAGGTATGCTATTGACTTCAATACTGATATGCTTTTAGTTGTTTTCCCCAAAGAATAGAGGTTAAAAAAATGCAGAAATGAGAAGGGTGGGAAATAAGTCTTTTCTCGAAGAGTCAGCTCCAAGGGGCAGGTGGTGTTAGCTGGTGTGTGACCACGTCATCTGAAAGCTTGTGCCTCCCCGCACTGATTCCTCCATGAGAAACCTCCTTCTGTATCATAATTTGTGGAGGGCAAAAAGAAGCTTGAATTGCCCCATGCAAAAAACCCAAAGTGCCATAATGTCTTAGATTCCTTAAAATAATAAATTTTTACTTGAATTGCAATTATTCTCCCCTATAACTATTTGCTGAGGTGGTATCTCCTCCCTGTTCCAGCCTCCTGCTCTGCTAAGTGACAGTCTCAGCTGAACTCTGCTTTGCCTGTACATATATGCTGACCACAGTCAATGCACAGGTTCCTCCTGGAGTTACTGTCCCACAAAACACTGGAGCTGAACATAAGCTCCAGAAGAAATCAGAAGAAATAAGTCTTTTATCTTAAGTTCATGGGGTGGAAAAACAATACCAATAAGATCAAGTGGCATCTTCTCATTAAATTCTTGCTTAAGTTCCCCCAAAATAGAAGGTTGTGTGGAGACCTCATACAACTTTCCAGTATCTCAAGGGGCTGCAGGGAAGCTGGAGAGGGACTCTGTTAGAAGCTGCAGTGATAGGACAAGGGGCAATGGATATAAATTGAAAGACAGGAAATTTAGATTAGATATCAGGAAAAACCTTTTAACTGCAAGGGTGATTGAAACACTGACACAGGTTGCCCAGAGAGATAGTGAATGCCCCAACCCTGTCAGTGTTCCAAGCCAGGCTGGATGAGGTCTTGAGCAACCTGGTCTGGTGGGAGGTGTGCCTGCCCATGGCAGTGGGGGTTGGGACTACGTGACCTCTAAAGTCCTTTCCAACCCCTTAACATTCTATGATTCTATGAGACTTAAGACCTATGTTTTCTGCTTTGCCCATTAAGTCACCATATTTAAATTTTATATGAATAGTTAATTTAGTTTAAATGCTCTAGACATACCATTGCCAAAGACTAATCTCAGTTTTGTCAGTCTCTCCTCCATACAATAATTGTATGTAGGCATTAGTTGTAAAACAGTGTGACAGAGCAGAAACATTGCCCTCAAAACAAAAGAAACCATTCTTTCTGTCAAGAAGAAATATTTTTAACAGGAACACTTAGTGAGGTACTTCACTCCCTGACTATGGACAGTCCAATTTGGCCTGATGGACATTCAATCAATAACGTGCAGGCAAAGCTCACTTTGTGATGTAAAAATCCCCCAATCACCAAAACTTGGATGCTCACTGGTTTATTCCCACCATGGGTCCTTGGGAAGTCAGGAGGGCTGATGTCAGAGGGCAGTGATGGACCTGCTGCCCCAGCCCCTTCCAACCCTGTGCTTCACAGGGATGGATCATGGAAGAAATGCATTTCCTTTCCACTCTTCCACCTCAAGAGACAAGTAAACCATTTGATGCAGCATCCTATCCCATTTCACCCACCCATACACAGCTCCTGCCTTCACCTACAGCCACTGCCTTATTAAGTTCACACTCCAGCGAGCAGCACTCTGTACCTTTAAAAACCATAAAAGCCATCAATGCTGCTATAAAGTAGCAACTGTGCTATAAACTATAGTGTTATGTAAAATGTTTAATTAGAAACTTAATGGTGAACATAGTGGTAGCCTTTAAAAGGTAATTGTGTTGGAGAGTTTAAATAATTCGGGTAGCCTAATTGCCAAATTGTTGATAATGCAAGCTGCCACAGATCTGACTGTAAAATGCCTCAGGACACTTGTTTGCATATAAAAGAGCTAACTGAAGTCAGTTAAGGCTGTGGGTTAAATTATGAATCGAGGGGGTGGCTTTTCTTGGTTAAAAACAATACAAGAGTGGTTTGGCCACAGAAAAGTGGAAGGGACTATATTAACCTCTCTGCATATGGAAATAAAAAATTCTAATTCTTTTTTTATCAGGACCTGTACAGCCTTTTCAAAGGGCTAAAGCATTTTACAGAGCGTTGGTAAAGCAACCAAGAATCAAACTATTGCAGTAGTTCATTACAAATTCTCCATTCCTAAATTTCACCATGGCAGTCTGCAGACAACTGGCTTTGCTCTGATTTTTTAACAGAATACAAGGTTTGCAGCGATAGCAAAGCTGCAGCTATTTCTGATGCTTCAGAAATTCAATTTCTCTCCCTCCAAGAACGTGTTTCCACACATGCCATGTAAATTTTGGTGTTACTGGTTGCTTTAAGAAAGACATGTAAGTCTGAAAAGATGGAACTCTTCCTCACTTTTTATATTATGTTCTCTGGGCTCTAATAAGCAACACATTGCCCATTATTTTCCTTTTGTACCTCCAATATTCTGTATAATAGAAGAGGTGGGAGTCCAGGGGCACTGAAAATCATGAGGATGGGCAGAGGCTGTGCAGGTCCTCCCTTCACAGTCTTTCAGCAAGGGCCTGTCTGGCCATTGGGGCTTGCTGGGAGGTCTTCCGTCTAGTATATAACTTTGTTCATTAGTAGGGCATTTTATAACATGGAGCTGTGTGCAAGGACCAGTGCATCTTTCAGGACTCAGCTCAATATCTGCCTGTAACATGACCCCTGGATCTATTATTCACCATAGTTACCCTCTGTTTCACTCTTTCTGGTTTAATTTATTCCTCTTTCTTTTTTCCTTCTAAAATCTATCCAAGGAAAATATGCAGAAGTGAGCTCGAAGAAAGCTGAGCAAGCCACTGGAATACTGTCCCTGGAGTCATGCCTCAGTCAGGAATACCACCTCCCTGAGTTTTCTATATTGCAGATGGGGTGAGATGGCCCAGAGCTCCTTCTGTATTTTGAAATATTGGGTCTACTGGTACATCCATCAATAAAATAATTACAGCTGGCCTGAACAGTGTTTGGAGATCACTATTTCTCAAAAAAAAAAAAAAAAGTACAATCAGCTCTGGGGTATTATGCAAACAGGGGTTAGATAAATACAAATGGTATGTGCACTATTCACCATTCTTTTGGGAAAAGTCACAGGACACTAAAGACAAACAGACACGGGTGTTGTCTCTGATTCCAGTGTAAACACATATTCTCCTCCTCCACATGACTGTTCCTTGTAACCAGTGAGGCTCTTAGCTAAAAAGGCTCTTACTGACTCCTAAAAATTCCTGCCAGGTTCACTAGTGAATTGGGCCCACCAGAACTGGTACTGTAAGGGTCATTTAGGAGATTAGACCATGTCCAGAAACAACAAGGTCAAGCCACAGGCATGGTAGGAATCAGTCTTCAAAACTGGAGATGTGATGGTTGTGGAGATCACATTTGCCTGAGCTTTGGTTTCATCTTTTGTTTCATGCTGGTTGCTTCCCTAGGTGAGATGGACCTGCTGATCCTTTCAAAAATACAAGCCAGATATCCAGGGGTCACCATCAACAATGAAGTGGTAGAGCCAAGTGCTGACCAAATCTCCAAGTACAAAGGTAATTTTGCTTTAAATAAATTAAATTTACATTAAGTATGCTAAACACACTGAAAAGTGTTGAAAGCTGGATAACCCCACATTCAAATGCTTTCTGTTCAAAACTGTCTCTTAAAAGTTAAAATATTCACTATTTAATGCTTTTGTCCTGTCATTGTTTCTCAAAAATATCCACTCTCATTAAAATCTTAGTCTCTCAAACTGAAAAGACCTCTGTGTGGCAACTGCTTGGCTAGACAGACTTTAAAAGCTAAACAAGGTGGGAAGTGATGGGTGATTGTATGGGAATAGAGTAAAAATCCCCACATTTTGGAAAGTTTTTCCTCTTCAACTTGCACTGAATCAGGATCTTTCCTCAGCATCAAAGGGAAAATTTTAGTGTCTCATGGTAATTCTCTCACATCTTCAAAATCGTTTCCAACAAATAGCTAAACCTCACAGTGGTGCACTAAATTAGTTACCATGCTTTGAATTAGAAAACATGGAAAGGAAAGCAAGACTGATAGGAAAGACTTTTGCTGTGTGCTCTGGGGCTTAGAGCTTGTTTGCTTCCACCAGCCCCAAGGTCTGAGCAACATTCATGAAGGAAAGTGAAGCATTTTCCAAGGAGGATTGAGTGTTAACAGGGATACTTTGGTCAAATTACCCTACAAAGTGAGCATTAAATAGCAATCCACAGTCTGATTATCACTGGATTAACACCTACCAGGCTTCACAGTAACAGGTAATTATGGTGTTGTGTGGAGGTGACACCAGCTACACCCTAAGGGCTGTGAGCAGCCCTGAGCAGAGCACATCTTGCCAGGGAGAGGCTGCTGAATGGATGTGACAGTAATGAATGAACCTCATCAACAGACTGTGTTGTTGGAAATGCTCCAAACCATAGTAAATACCAGACTGTAAAACCACACTGTAAATCTCCAACTCTTGCTCTTGCTAAAGTCCTTAAAAATGAAGCATTCCTAGTACAAAGCAGCTTGTGGAAGTTGAAGGAAAAAAACAAAACAGTCCCTTTCTCCCTGCAGTGAGGGAGTTCAGAATCACTGGAACCACCAAAGGCTCCCAGGAAACACATGATTTCTTTTTCTATCTATGTGTTACATGGACCTGATCTTTAAAAAGATGTCTCGTGAAAAATCCCAGGAGCTTTTACATTGCTCCAGGCTGAGATGGTGAGGAATGGGGAACAGAGCATCTGCCCTCTTCATAAGAAAGTTTGGACTCTTGCACCTGGCATTTCTGTCTTGTCTGGGCCATGTAGGACTGGATTTGCAGTGTCTCTTCCAAGTGCTCCCACCACCTGCCACCAACTAACTGGCAATCCTATCTTACTTCAGCGAGTTTCTTTCCAGAAGAAAGTAAAAGAAAATAGAAGACGTTGTCCTTATTTTAAGTTTTATGCTAAACTAGAAATGAAATATTCATCTCAATTTCTTTCTTGAAACTTTCTTATTTGGTAATTAATCATGTCCCCAGTAGGTATCATTAATTAGGTTTCGGAGCCCCAAGATTTTCCACAGAGAATTAGAAACATTATCTGCACCTCTGAGGATTCAGTAGTTATGTTTTCTGCCTAACCAGATACTTTTTCCTTGGGAAAGAGAAACCAAGCTCACAAGAGAAACTTCATACTAGGATGTGCAGTGATGACAAACTCAGGTTTCTGTTAGGCTGTAGTGTACGATGGAGGCTCTTCCCAAAGCCCCATGGCCAGGCTGTGGCTTTCCTTCATTCCTGGTCCATGACCAGGTGAAGTCCTTTGGGGATTGTAGTTGGAGTGTTGATGGCCCCACAGCTGAGCTGCAATGTCATCACAATACTGCAGGCAGCCCAGTTTTGATGGCACCCATCAAGGGCACATGACCAGATCCAGACAACAAACTAGGGTGAGGCGAGGAGAAAATTCAGAAAATCTTAAGGAAATCTTTTAAGAATGGCTTCAGATGAATCCTTGGGGAGAAACTTCCCATACTCCCATAATGAGTTTGCCCTTCCTGAAAATTTGTCTTTAAAGGCCCATCCTGGCAAGCAATTCAGTTTTCTTTCTAGCTTCTACTCACAGACTGTCTACCAAGAGAGCTGAACCAGATTGCACCAGATTATTGGTGGTGGGGATATGAATTGCTGCTGAATGACGTCTGAGTTTATAAGAGCAAATTAAGTCTGGACTGCAAGCACTGGGGCCAGTGACTGATAAATGGAAGCTAACACAGCACCAGTGGCAGCATCTGAACGGGGTGGCCCATTTCCAGCCACAGAACAGAGGAGATAAGCACTGATGGAGCATTTCTCATCTATCTGACGGGGCTGTGTCCTAATCAGAGCCCAAAAGGAGAAACATTGTCATTAGTGGTGTAAAGGCACTGGTCTTAGCAAATCAGGTTGTTTTGAACATGTGTTCTGTAGCTAAGGCTCAGTCTGCCTTTGGGCCATTTAAGTTTTAAATTTATGCTAACTCCAGCGAAGCACAGGAATCGCATCAGGGCCAGCTTTGTCCTGGAGCAATCCCGCGCGCCAGGCAGGAACGCAGTGAGATGAGCTCCATATGCCAGCAGATGGACATTAGTATTCTGGCATTCCCTAAATTATGAAATTATCTCTCCGTTTTACTCCCATAAAAATCAAAGAAATGCAGTGAAGAGCAAGGCCCTCAGTCTAACTTATTCTTTCAAGCTACTTCTCCAGTTTTCTGCTTTCCTCAGTTGCTGATGTGCATTGTATTGAGGTCTGAAAACATGCCATGTGCCAGTCCTTATACTAGTCTTTCCTTTAAAACAGTCATTGCTTTTACCTGAAGCAGTTGGCCAAAACTGTGGGGTTTTGAAAAATTATTTCAAGGCAGCAGAAGTTGAACGTCAAGAGATGGGTCCTTGCTCCTTCCCTCTTCCTGTGGCAAAATCTCAGAAAGAAGCATTTGCTTTCTCTTCCCTTTCTAATATTTCAATTGTTCTTCTCTTCACAATAACCTCCCTTTTGATCCACCCTTGAGCCCCTGTATTTATTTGGGGAAAACCCTCCACCATGGTCTGGCTTCTGCTCAGTCACATGAGTTTTGTATGACACCCAAGCGATGGGGTCATCAGTCCTTCTCCTCTTTGACATGATATGTGCTCCTCATAGCTGTCTGTCCCAGCCAACATTTTTTAAATCAGTTTGCTCCAGTCATGGGAAAGATTTTATTTCCTTTTTTCCTTTTAGGTCAGGTAAAGACCAGAGAAGCCCAAATGAAGAAGCAAAGGGAAAAGACCCTCTTAAGACTTCATCCTACAAAGCCCTTTACTGCCTCCTTCTCACATATGGGCTCAAGGTTTTACATATTCCACTATTGTGTTGAAGCAATACCAAAACTCTCTGCTTAAATAGGATATTTGGATGTATTAAAGCTCTGAGTGCAAATCAGTCCCATATTTGCAATTGAGATAACCCTGTCCTGCCTTCTCCCATATTTCAGAGCATGTGGCTAAGGCATCAAACCTCGAGAACATAAAGTTTACCTGGCACAAGGAGACAGCTTATGAATATGAAAGTCGAATGAATGCAGAAAAGAAGTCTAAAAAATGGGACTTCATTCACATGATCCAGGTAAAAGTCTCTGCAAACTAAATGTTGTCAAAAACTTGGCTGTTAAAGGTATGCATGAAGTATGTGACCTCATTATCCACTCTTAGGGGAAGAAAGGTGAGTTTGCTTCCCAGTAATTTGAAGTACTTCAGCATAAGTGAACTGTAAAAATGAAAAGCAGCTTTGAGCACAGTAGTCCTATTAACCAGACTGTGGGTGGCAGTCAACTAACAATACATTTTAACTAGTGTCTTCTAAAGCTCCTTGACTCTCCATGAAATTGCCTTTGTATTTCCAAGTTCACTGAAGCCATTACAAGCCATCTTCACGTAAAGAAAGGCAAATCTCTTTATCTCAGGTTAATGAATGAACATGAGCTTGGGCTTGGGAGAGCCAGGGAGCAGGCATGGCAGTGACAGCCCGGAGCCTGTGTTGTGAGCCCACTGCCTGGCATCGTGCTGGTGTGCCTTGTGCTGCTGCTCTTCTGTCAGGATTGCCCCTACTTGGATTCCTTTTGTGGTACCAGGTATAATAGTCACCAGGATAGCACTGTATGTCTGTAAGCATCTCTGCTTTTTCTAGATGCTGTATTATGTGAGAGATATCCCAGCAACTATCCGGTATTTCCACAGCCTTCTGGAATCTCAGGCGAAGCTCCTTGTTATCCTGGTGTCAGGTGAGAGCTGCTTCATCAGTGCTGTTCAGTTGGGCAAGAGCCATGAAGACACTTGGGATTCCTGTGAGTTTAGCACAGTCCATAGATATGCACTAGCATCCTTTGAAACATGCATGCTGTTTCTATCTGCATGAGTTGTAAACACCAAGGTTTTATGAGCCAGCAAACCTGTGCCATGGGCACAAAACCACCTTCTCTGGCTCTCTGTCCTTCCTCCTTCCCCATCCTACAGCCTGTCCAACAATGGAGAGCAGCAGAAGCCCTGCAGCAGGTGAGAGGCTCCATCCCACAGCTCTCACTCACAGGAGCTCCTTCAGCCTCTGCTGTTTGCTGTGAAAGGCTTTCCAGGCTGGGCACTGCATTATCTTGCTCCCAGAGACTTGTGGCATTAAGCGAACGGCTACGACGGGGCTCGGCTGTGCCATACAGCAGGTGTTAGAGCACATATGGTTCATTTTCTTCTCAAACTGCCCATTTCCTTAATATCATCATTTTGGGTAGAAAACAGCGTTCTTAGGCTGTTCACATCTCAGATTCTCTGTGGTCAATCCAGCAGGAAAATGCAGGAGCAGAGTAAACAATGATCTTTTAATACTGTGGGCAAGGTATGCCAGAGATACTGCAATGGTGGGGTTTAATTTGACTCTAGAAAGCATTTAATTTGCCTCAAAAGCTATGGAAATTTTAGCTGTGTAAACAAGCACATCTGATAATTTTAGAGGGAAGCTAAGCATTATTTGTTCAGAGTTTTAAGCTTCATTTCTTATTGAATTTGGCTATCTCTGCACACCGTGCTTGAAGAAGTTCCTTTTATTTTTGTTTACAAAGGGTCCACAGCAAAGTGACACTTCCCTGAACCGAATTTATACAAACTATTTTCCTGCAAAATGTTTTTCATTTAAAGTGTTTTCGAGCAGTTCATGATAGGAAATTTGTATTTTAAATAATTTTAAAGAACAGTTCTTGTTCTTTGGCTGAATGAGAAGAGATCATAATATCAGACTATTGTATATATTTAACTGAAGCTCTTTTCCAGTTGCTTAACCTCTCCCTTTGGATATTCACAAAATGTGAATACAGGAAGGAACATGTGCCTATTCAAAATTAAAGTGATAAAAATTCTGAGGTCATGAAAATTATTTGAAGCCCTCTCTGGGTCAGGCAACTTTGTGTTTTTGAATGGAGCAGAATGGAGCAGAAATTGCTGTGGCCAAGAAAGTGGGAGAGGAGCAAGACTCAGAATAGCAGAGAGGAAAGGAAAGGGAAAACCTTGTGGAAAACAAGGGAATAGAGAAGGGAAGAAGCGGTATGAAAATAAGCACTGAAGCAAAAAAAGACATACTGAAAGATCAGCAGAACAAAGGTCATTTCAAAAAATGAAGGTAATGTCATCTCCAATGCGAACACATCAGGATGCATTAATTAAAAACCAGTCTGGGAGCAGGATTGGTAGAAGAGGGTTTGGGTCAGTCAGTGGAGGTTGCAATTCCTCCTGCCCTGACCCTGCTGGGAGAGCAGGCGAGTTGCAGGAGCAACGTGGTGTTATTTTTAATGTATTTAAAAAATCTGTTTACATCCCCTTGAAAACAAAAGTAGTGCCATATGCTGAGCCTTTCGAGAGCTGTTATAATAATGCTGCGTTCAGGTAGTGTATAATTGCTCAGCTCTGAGATGGCACTGAGTCACACAACACTGACACCAGCAAATTTCCTGCAATTAGTGCTCTGCATTCAATTTCCACCAGGTGAAAGAAAATATTGTAGCCCCCTCTTCTAAACACCAAATTGTTTATTTGACTATAAATAACTGTTTGCAGATAAAGCAACTGCAAAACTGGTTTTAGTACTTAAGGAGAATTACAGCAGTAACTTTCAAGTGCTGCTCATTAGGCTTGAAGTTCTGGGTTCACCCACATTCTGGGTGATCTTTTAAAAATGATTTACAGCAGAAATGCTGAATCAGAGACCCAGACTGAGGGAAAATCAAGATGTGAAGTGTAGAAATGCTGAATCAGAGATGCAGACTGAGGGAAAATCAAGATGTGAAGACATAACTAGGGAGTTTTCAACTAACCTAGTTGGTTTGCTTCCTAAAACACGTCTTGAGGTGTGAACTGCTCTGGCCTCAGCTGGGGGTTCAATGAGAGGTGCTGAAACTCTGGGGTAGGTAATGTGTCCACTCATTCCTGCAGCCACTGACCCCAAGGCACAGGAGCAGGGAGGCAGCCACCTCCACCATATCCCAGGACACATTCCAGCTCTGGAAGGATCCTGCTCACAATGAGGACAAACGCTAAAAAAATCCCAGATGGTCAAAAATGTCTTCAAATATCATTTTTTCTTACTTCTGAGTCCTTTTCTGGTGGTTTATTTCAT